ATTTCGCCTGAGGCAGCAACTCGGTTGATTTAACTCATACACGTGCATCTCTTGCAGAAATATGATCTACAACGATACAGCTTATCTACTCAAACACCCCCATGAGTGTCTACCTCATATTGCGAATGTGCTACGTACATCACTACTTATCCTGATGGTCTTTTGTCCCTCTGCCTCTTCGTTCAGCTGATATGCTAATTTTTCGACTTCGTCCTTAATTTTTGCACACCAGTGTACTTCTTTTATTCGATCATTGTAATTCGTAAGGTTTAAGGAAAACAATTAATAATATTACAATCACAGAATACCTCGTGTTTCCCTTATGGTATTATTAATCGGTATCTTACTAATCTTTCTTCACAAAGAAGATTTTAAAAATTTTAATCTCATCTAAAATTAATTCATGCTACAGGAATCTTAACGGTACGGTACCTTTTAAGATCATAAAAAATTCGACATGTTGTGAGGATACTTGTTTCTTCAAACTTTAAGAAAGTTTTCAAAACTTTTAGAAACTGAATATTATTGTTGATGTTAAAAGAGATTGATCGCACTTCTCTTTCCATTCTGGCAAACCTCTTCCTAGAAACTCCTGACGTGTACTACATCAAATTTCTCGTTTCGTTTGATGATGCTCGTCAAAAATCTTTCAACTCTTATGAGAAAAAAGACACTCTTCTGAGAAGAATATATTGAAAGGTGGAATTACAAAGTGCCATTTTCTGTGTCTTGACATAGCTAGTGAGAAAACAATTCTTCAATCGTTAAGAAAAGATTCCATTGAATTTTGTTAGAGCTCCGCAGATACCAGATAAATTCTTTTACATTGGATATCCGAAAATCTAAAGCGTAAAAGTATTGAATTTTCGTCTAAAAATGCGGTTTGAAATCCGTAAGCATATCGATCAATCAACTTTCACAATAAAATTGAAATTGCTTACTTCGTTAACTAATAATGTTATGGAACAAGAACATGGATTCTTTTCTCCACTCTAAAACAAGTATCAGGGGAAAAAATCAGTTTATATACCACTTATTTATTTCATTATAATAGAAATTTTAAAGAATGAAAATAAAATTATTCACATTCCTATTTTAATTTATTTCATTTAATTTTTCTGTCATGTTACCACGATGTTCCAGTAAATCATTTAATTATCTAGAATTTCGATAACCAAATTTGACGAATTGGAACATTTTCATTTCGCATGGAAAACAAATTACTATTTCAAATTTCCAGGTAGAATATAACTACTCAATGAAACTATTCACTATTGAAAAGTTTAAAAATTAAAACAACTAAAATGTTAAAATATAACAAAGCCATGTCACTATTTCTCTTCTCTGCTTACGTGAATATATTGTTTATTCTCGCAATTTATAAAATTATTCTATATTGTTGAATAACATTAAAAGTCAATTCAAAATTAATTTCACTTTTAAAAATCTCCTGCTTAAGTTTCTACATTTCATTTTTGAAGATTAAATGATAAATAAAAAACATTAAAATAGGAAAAAAATTAAATTCAAAATTGTATAAATAAGCTTCCAGTTTAATCTATATCAATTCAAAAATACATTAAAGCCATTAAATTTTACATTTAGTGCAAGCGATGCACGGAAGAAAATTTAGAAATTGTATGACGCTCATGATGTAAAATATTCATAACATTCATCGTACAAGACTGACATGTTTTGCAAATGTTGCTAAAAAATCCCTGGAAAATTATTTTTTAAGTGACTGACGTAAAGCTGGATACAGCAACGCACTTCTATAACGACAAAAGTGTTACTCATTGCTGATTGGCAACAACGTCATTATCTATTTATGTCGAATGGGATTTTACGTAACCTGAAAACAATAGCACCTTGAAATGTGTTCCTTCAAAGTGATTAAAAAAAACTTTCCGAGTGCTAACTCGTTTAACCATTTTAAATTTACCAGTGTTCTACGTGAATTAATTGCAGGATACTCAATAGAATTAATTTAATAGCCCAAAGGCACTGGTGGAAACATATTGACTGTTAAAAGGAATGTGCTTCAAGTGAATGCTTTTAAGAAATTTTGAGTGTTTCTGTTTATAAAAAAAACATAAAAAACGGTGTATTTAAGCCTACTAATTTAAATCTGACGAAGGTAACACGTGATGCGTACCCAAAATCTTTGATCATAGACTATAAATAGTCAAGGAAAAAATTGTTTGATTTGATAAATCAAGATCACTCTTACATCACGTGTAAGTCAAACGTGTATACTACGAATATTATCACAGCCTATGATGCACAGTCAAACAGTTACAAACCAGCGGAGGAGACGATGTTTTCACCAGAGACTTATCGTAATAGAACAATTCACAAAAGCTATCATATTTGTGCACATCGTTGCAAACTGAAACCGCCCATTCACATCAACTGTGTCTGTACCTTGGATAGCTTTTGTCACCATTGTCATGTTATGTAAGCTTCACTGCCTTATTACCAAGAAGTAATTCAAGAAACATTATGGTGGATTTCATTTACTGTCATAGCCTTAGAATTCACCAAATATGAATAAACTGAATATCTGTGGTTCATATCAAAGAAACGGATAACGGTGCACCACCACTGCCCCGAAATACACCGGAACTAAGAAACGTGATGTTTAAGGTATAGGTAATTGCAACTTGTTCAGTTGACTATTGTTTCTAAATTACTTACCTTGACCTAACAAATAACGGCTTTTTGCTTAAGTTGTACTTCTACTTCCATTTTTCTTTGTTGGTACATCATTTTACTGATGCGTTTCTATGACGATAAATCGCATAGCGAAAATATATGAATATATATTTATATATCCAGGAACTTCTCCCCACATTAGAATAAATGGAAGGCAGAGTGGCCGCCACCTTTTTCAGACTTAAATGTTATTAAGGAGTATCCATATCTTGTTAGTGCAATATCTCGACATGATCGTGTGGCGCATCTCACTTATTAGAAAATATTTCTCTAAAAAATAAGACTATTTGCTTCATGTGATTTCGACGTAACTTTTAATATTGATGTAACAGCAGTAAATGCTCTTTGATTTCCGTTTGTGACTAGTTCCACATCTGAGAAGTAAACATGGAAAGTTAATCTGAATAGTTCCTCTGAAATTAGATCACATAAAAGTTATAATACATTCTAACTTAAATGATGGTCAATATATTTTTTTTAATTTATTAATACCAATTCTAAAGTAATTTTAATTTGCATTTACAAAAGAGAGGCATAATTTCTTTCAGATCGTTCTGTGCAATTCTTAAAATAATATTTCAGACTTAGTGAATATCATTTTCATTGAGTGAATATTTTTGACTGAGTGAAATAATATTTCAGTCGGAGTTAGCGGCTATCAGATGCAGCTAGCAACCTAGAAGATCTATGATTAGAATATTGACTAGGACACAGGTGGGTTTACAATATTCCGTGCTTCAAAAAAACCTAATAGGCTGTACATAAGAAGCTAAAGAACTTACTGCTAAAAATATTGTAATATTTACTATTGGTTGTTTTGAGGAAAGTGGGAAGAACTGAAAAAATGAAAAGAATTATTATAGATAATATCGGATTTAACAAGTAACAAGTATCGACAGGATTTAACAAGTGGTAACCTGAAAAAGACAATATACATCATTTACCAAAAAAGGATAATTTATATCACTTACGATTCGATACATCTGCTGTTAAACATTAATTTTCAACATTTTTTTTATCTCGCTAATTTGTTTATTTTGTGAACTTTGCAGTAAGCAGTAATTCAATAAAGCACTATTCTACTAACCAAAATTATTCATTCACAGGTTCTAAGTACTTCTCATAATCTTTATCAAAGCCTAATTAAAATGCCTTTCTTGTAACTAAAATTTACTATTAATAGTAGTTTAATTTTGTTTAAAGAGTTGTAAAAGATGTTTCTAGTACACGCTTCTTTTCAAGTTAATGCGTTGTAGTTTGTCTCTGTTATTCATCACACGCTGCACAATCGATGTTTCCATTACATTAGTTGCTTTCTGCATTAGTCTATCTTTATGGATGATTCCTTTAATTTTTCAAATTATATTTAGATGCAACTTCTAATTCCGTAAACTTTGTATGTCTTCTACTTAAACTGCCTGCCACATAATATTAGAAATCAGCGGTTCTGATTCTCAGTCATTCAATAGGAAAAAAATAATTCTCAGTTACTAAAGAAAATAATAATGACTATTATGAATAAAGCTTGTAAGCATTCATATCCGTTTAAAATATCATATGTATTAACTAGTGTTTCCTCGCAACTAAACCTAATTTACTTCCTTTAATTTAGTTATCATATTCAGCTTGTATGGTCGAGTCATACAAGCTAAGTATAGTGAAGAACCAACAAGTTCTCGATCACGTCCGTTATAAGTGGATTACTTTACGAAATCTGCACACATAGGATTTTATGTTCATAAATATTTATTCCAAAAATTAGTAAGTCATCCACATAAAGAGCAAGGGTAACCTTACAGGCGCTTGGCGTATAAAATGCAAAGCTCACGTTATAAATATTTGAAACCTAATTTTACTGTGAAATTGAGAAATGTATTACACCAGTGTCTTGGAATATATTTTAGCCCATCCTATCGAGAAGAATCCGTATAACGGGTTTACAGGATCAGTCAAAGCTTCAAGAACGTTAGTATACACCATATTTAACTTTTAATCTTATATCAGGTAAATGTTATTCTTTTAACCCAAGCAACATTCTTTATATTTAAAAATCATTTATTACACATACTTAGTTTTCTGTTGCATTCTTATGTGAACTGAAATTTACTTCAGCATTTACTACTGAATTTCACCACTTGAATTTCAAAATCTAGTGAAATATCATACTATATAACATTTTCAATAATTTTTTTTTCTCCAGGAATTTAAACGCTAATTTGCTAAGCCATTTTCACATATCCATGGATTTGCCTTACACGAATTTATATTTTCCAGGTAGCCTGGGTACTGATGTCAACAAGAGAACGATAATGCTGAGAGAAGGGAGTCTGGAACTAGCAGGTCCTTGGAGAATCATCTTCGTTGTATTTGTCACCTACTCCATGCTTCCTCTGTCTTTGAGATGGTGTCTCTTGTGCGGAACAGTATCATCTGTGGCCCACATCATTATCCTTGTATTAGGTGCTCCCCGACGAGAAAATGATTTCATCAAAAAGGTGAAGTTTAGAAATCTGCTTTTTTAGTAAATCTAAGTTCGTTTATTTTTGAAGATGTTAATGTTGCTATACTTTGATACCAAAACGGACGAAAAGTATCACATTTCCCAACATGTAAGGTAAATAAGGGCGTACATATTTTATTTTTCTTTAGACCATTCTAACTAAAAGTAGTTTGTGGTTTGAAACCGTTCCTTCCATTGGCGGTGTTGTTTGAATTAAATAGTTCAAGATTATGCAGAATAGAAAGGTAAGCATGTGCGCACAGATTTTTCTTGGAGTACAGATGGTAGTTATTTGCGTAAATCAATTCTCGTTTAAAAGTGAAGTCAGTCATTGCTGTCATATGTAATTTTGTTTTACCGGGTGATCAAAAAGTCAGTATAAATTTGAAAACTTAATACATCACGGAATAATGTAGATAGAGAGGTAAAAATTGACACACATACTTAGAATGACATGGGGTTTTATTAGAACCAAAAAAAAAAGTTCAAAAGTATGGGTTGGATTTACCACATCTACTGTTATCGGGCCTTTTTTCTTCGAGGAAATGCGTGATTCTGGTTTTGTAACTGCTACCGTGACGGGTGAGAGGTACGCCGATATGTTACAGAATCGCATCGTCCCCAGCCTTTCTGATAAACACATGCTGGAACGTACGATTTTTATGCAGGATGGCGCTCCACCCCATATTGCTAGACGCGTGAAAGACCTCTTGCGCGCGTCGTTTGGTGATGATCAGCCGCCACTTTCGTCATGCTTGGCCTTCCAGGTCACCAGACCTCAGTCCGTGCGATTATTGGCTTTGGGTTACCTGAAGTCGTGATCAACCGACATCTATAGAGATGCTGAAAGACAACATCCGACGCCAATGCCTCACCATAACTTCGAATATGCTTTACAGTGCTGTTCACAACATTATTCCTCGACTACAGCTATTGCTGAGGAATGACGGTGAACATATTGAGCATTTCCTGTAAAGAACATCTTTGCTTTGTCTAATTTGTTATGCTAATTATTGCTTTTCTGATCAGATTATTGCTTTTCTAATTATTGCTTTTCTAATAAAACCCCATTTCATTCTAAGTATGTGTGTCAATTTTTACCTCTCTATCTACATTATTCCTTAATTTACTAAGTTTTCAAATTTATACTGACTTTTTGATCACCCGGTACATGCTAAGTTGAAAGAAATAAAATACTCGTCTTTGTTTTTTCTAAAAAAAGCTATTGCTTAAGGAAGAAAACTAACAAACGTTTGTGCTTTTAGCAGAATGCATAAAAATTAAAATTGTGAACAAAGGACTGTAATCTAGATATTCTCATAAACTGCTAAAAGGATCTTCTTTAATGTTGGTGAGTCAGCTTATGAGAGAAAATTTAAGCTCTTTAGAAGAGATGTTGTCAGTTGAATGTAATTCTAGGAATTAAAGGAAAAAGGTTCAGTTTTCTTAGATAGTTGCAGTCACAGAAATCTTTTAAAAGATTAATGAGAGAAAACTAATACAGCTGAATATAAGTTCAGAATTTCATGTAACTCAAACAAGTAAAAGGAAGGGACCTAATATTTCGAAAGTTAGCCAGTGTTTTAAAGCATGATGGTATACTTTAAAAAGAGAACCTATCTGAATTCAGAGAGAATAATTTGACTGAATAAAAACATTCAAAAATTACCGACTATTATATATTTTTTTCGTTGTTATATACTATTTTTACTTGAATATTCTTTATTTTTTTAGTTAAATATGTCTTACTCAACAAACACAAGCATAATCACAGTAGCTCTTTTTAACAAACGGATTATTAACTAATAGTTGCTCTTACAATCGGTGTCCATTTCATAATACAGCAAATACAGTTTTTGTTATTGCAATCAAAATAGTTACAAAGAACAATTAGATCGACTTATCGTTTAATTTACTTTCGTTCCATAAAATATTGTACTGCTTTAGGATGTATATAGTTAGTTATATTTTTGACATAAAAATATTCATATTTTATAAGTAATGAAAGCATATGTTAAGACAAAAAGATTCAAATAAAGTTTCCTCGTGTATAATATAGCCTAAAACTACGTTTTAAGACTGAACTTCAAACCTTGTATACCAAGCGAAAATAGTAAAATTAGTGTTTCAAAAAGAAATATATTTTGCATTTAACTAATTTGAACTGAACATTAAATCAAGTTTCCTGTTGTTGCGTTATAACGGTTCGTGGATTTGGGGTGATTGATGACAACACTTGATGAAGAATCAAAATACAGTTTATTTAGCCAGGATTACTCAGGACAGTTCCAAAAACACATTTACAGTCGTCGAAAAACTACGACAAACAGGTTGAAACAATCAGCAACACAGCTTTCAGTCTATAACGGTGCAGACAGCTTCACGGCAAACACTAGTACAGCTTCCGACTCGGTCGATCACTTTCGGAGCTCAATACACTCAAGATAAAACTCAACGATGCAACTGCTACACCGCGTACATATGCTTATATAAATTTTGGCCTGCCTTCGAGAACATTCTGGGCCAAACCGGTAAGAATTCGTTCTAGAATATTCTCCATCCGTCTATAGTGTATAGCCAATTTTATCGTCAAATTGGCGATTTCGCGCTAGATCTGACAAACCTGCTTTGCATTGGCATTTTCTGGCAACCCTAAACCCGCTTTGCTTGGAAGCTATCTTACCGCGGCTGGGCATTTCGAAACAATATATTAGGCTTGGAATGTTAACGTTAGGCAGCATTATTATATATATAATATTATACTTATAAATGCACACACAAATACATTCATGAGCCTCATTTTAGACTGTAATAAATACGCAATTATTTTTTCCCCCATTTTTGTAGCTGTTTAGAACTTGCATACGAAGCATACAAAATAAAGCATTTTTCGCGTTGTTGAAGAAAGCATAAATTTGGTGCTTAGCCATTTGAAAATAAAAATCAGTGGTTTTCAACGAAAATCAAATGAACATATACACTTACAGTTTCTTCAGTTTAATAAAGTAATGTCAGGCCTGAGTAAGGCAGTTCGAAACCTTAAGTTATAAGGTATTTCTCCCGCCTTCTTAGCGTGCCTTCGTGGTGTAGTGATCTGAACGGTGGGCGCGTACTCCAGAGGTCAGTGGTTCGATTCCCGGCGAAGGCGTTGATCATTTTTTTCTTCTCTACAAAATAAGCATTCTTTCTGGGTTTCCGCTGCCTATTTTCCCTTACATTTGTGAATTCCCGCAAAAATATGAAAACCTAAGCCTGTACGTTGAAGGCCCTGATCAATGCAGCTTCCAATCATTCTAATTGAAGTTCACAGGCATTTTTTCACTGAAAAATTTCAATCATTTTTTCACTGAAAATTTTCAATCATGTTTAGAAACAGTCACGTAATTCATTAAATTCTTAGCCTAAATTTAAAATTCTAACATCTATCTAAATTCTTGGCATTTAAAATTGAACAGTTGTTGAATTAATTTACACAGTACTATATAGATAATATATAATGATTAAATCTTTATTATAATGAAAGGAATAGTTCCACAAACTAACGCAGTTCCAAAGTAAGGAACATGTAATTTTCAAACTGACACATCTGCATAGCAAACGTCTGGGTTAACAATAACGAATATTACTTCTTTAAATATATTAGCATAGCTTTTCTATTTTAAAATTTTCCATCAAAAATTAACGTTTAATTCTAGCATTCAAATTATTAAATAAATTATCAGCTGCTATTAATACACCAGCTCAGCCAGATCAGCTCACTTAAAAATCGCTTCAAAATATCTTAATTTACAAAATAGTGGCTTCAATGTTTTATAAATGATAAATAGCTAAATAAATAACTTGAAAAATAAGAAAAAAATTTAGGGAAAATGAAAATGTACTATTTTAATCTATCAATGTCCCGTTTCTTTACTAAGTTGCATTTTCTGGAAAGAGTAACCATGTGTCTAAATATAAAGAATCATGAAGATAATAGTAATTAATTCATTAAAATGAAAGAAAAACCTTACAGTCTAAAAAAAACTTATATTCCTAGCACAATATCGTCTACATATGCGACAAAGAGGGTTGTTTAAAATTATGCTTCATTTGGATGTGTATTTTTAATGTCATTTAATTTCATTCCTCATTATCTTCTTGATTATTGTTCCTAATACGATAAAAAAGAAAGATTTAATTAAAATAGAGATATCTATTTATAGTAAAATTGCAGAACAAATTGGTTTATGGAACAATAAGAACTGACTATTTTAGTAATACAGATAACGGCATAACAATAATAGGAAATGAACTAATTAGGGTTAAAAAATATTTCATATATAGCATATCGTGCTTTCTCTATATTTACGCATAATCAAATGTTTAAGGAAGTTATAATTTTCAATTAATTTGATTAAAATTTTTAAAATGTGCTTCAAATTAGCATCTTTGAATCATCAGAACAAAACCTGCACAGAAAATAAAATATGTTCGTTAATTTGTTTAATCTGTTATGGTTAAAGCATAGGATATAATTCTGCTTAAGATAAGGAATACCTTCGTGGAGAACATTCTAAGAAACCTGGCTTAAATTTGCTTTACACAAGGAAACAACCACGAAATTGCTCATGCAGCCAAACCGTTTGCCAAGTTTCTAACCCTAATTAAACTACCAGTGTTGGTCTTATCCTTTGATGAAAAAATCTGATGTCTACACCACGACTTCCTTGTACAGACTATTAAATTATACACATATTTTCTTGCATTTCATTTTAAACTTATTGGATTGAATTAAATCTACTTCGTCGACCACAATAGAATAAGTTCACTATATTTGTTTACCATAGCAACACTCTGGCGCTAGGTTCACTTAACAGTATTATATTTCGTTCATATTATAACTCAGAATGCACAAATTTTATATCATTTGAAGAATTATCTTATCCTTGCCACATGTTCTATTCAAATACTATAATAAATCTAGAACGATGTATAAAAGAAATTAAACAAAACACA